GATGATAAACGTAAGAGATGGCTTAAAACTGCAATGCTTCAGTGACATCGGGCCCCGGATGGCAAGGAAAGAATGGTCGGCTTTGATCCCAGTATCAAAATAGTCTCGCACGTACCGGACATATTACGAAATAGAATAATACTTACTTGTGGATTCACTTACAAGCAAGTATGCAACAATCATTGCCACCCGATCGTTGTCATACGAGGTTGTCTATATCTGGTTACTAAAAGCACTAAAATGAAGAGATCAAGGAGTACTAGATCATTAATCCTCGATTATATTGGTGACTATCAACTAGTAACTAGGTGCTGGCTAAAACCAACAAGAAATAAAGTACCTATCAAACTCAACTAAAGAGCAACGAGTTATGGCGCGGGCAGAGAATATACAGCAAATACGAACGGCAGACAGTCTACAATCTACTGAGATAGCGTTTAGAATAGACTAACGTTGTGCCGAAATAAGTCATTTCTATTAATAATATAGTGCAAAGTTGCTGATACATAAAAATCGGTTTTGGAACGGAATTTAGAAACTGGCCAAGCGCATAGAGCAACCCAAGCAATTACATATCCAAGAATATTCCGTTACAAATAGGAGATATAAGTGGACCGATATCATTATTTAAATAATTCATGAGCAATTTCTCAACACGAAAATGCTTCCAATTTCCAAGTTGCCCAATAAAGAAAAAATGTGGGAACAAAATTAGAGAAAATTACAATAACTATCCTGGAAAATGAAATATAGACAAAATATCGGGTAAAAAGGCGAAAAATCTGTGCTGATTAGCTGTTTTGAATTGCAGTACCCGGCCAATGGGAAAGTCCTATAAGAGAAGAGAATGGATAAAATCGAAAAATGGGCGAACTAGAAGAAAAGTAAAAATTTTGTTAATGCAAAGGACAAGCCGCTGATCCACTTAATATTCAGGCAGGGGAAATTAGGTGGAACATATTTACAGTGTAGTGGAATGTAAACATACTAGGATATTGGATAGTTATATTCAATAAAAACGGAATTCTCACAAAAAGGCTTCCAGAAGATATATATATGTCATTGGTTTGACGTGATATCAAGCGTTATCTTAATAGTTGTGGCTCCCAAAATAGAGGAATTTCCTTGAGAGGTACAACGCTAGATAAACTTTGAAGAAACTGGTACAAGTTAAGGGTAACTGCTTAAAAAATCTAGCATTTGTAAGTGTAGGAACAAAGATATTGGATCACCAGAGTGATGCAAATAAAATGAGTAATATTATACAATGAAGCACTACAGATAACGAGATCTGTAGAAAAAACTTTAAAAATTCCTTGTGGAAATCAAACAAGCCCATCCAAGCTAGTGCTGGCTGCAATATTTTTCGCAACAGAAAAGTCCTTAAGTGGTTTGGCGTTGTCAGATTCAATGGTCCCTAAATCTAATTTCTTAAAGAAATGGGGACTGATGTACAACGTAAGCAAGAGGCATAATGAAAATGAAGGTAGGCGAAATAGAGAGGGAGTGTATGAACAAATGAAAATGCATAAAGTCAACAATGAAGGGTGGGGTAAAATGAGAAAAGATAAAATCTTTGTATCATGTGCAAATAACAACGCCTAAACTGCCAAGTAGAGGCCCAAACGAGGCGTGTGATAACATTTGCAAATCACCTGAAGAAGAACAAGCACAAAAGATCAAGGTCTCTGGAGTAAAGTGTGGTGGGGCTGAGGGGACGGATGTGCAGAGAGATCAAGTAAGCATAACTTGCTGGCAAGACTATCCACACATCATAATTAGTTGTCTAAAAAGGGGTAAATGCTCGACGAATGAGTTAAATGCATGATGATTGGCAGAATGTTCGCCAGCAAATGTGATATGAAGATGGCTTTGACACAGGGTATGAAGTCATGGTGGACAGATTTCCTCAACAGCTGCTTTGTTCGGCTTAAACTGTTCGGCTTCTTGAATGGATGTATAAAGGCCACCTCTGTATAAAACCCGATGACCAACGTCAACAGAAGCAGGGACACAAGCCTCATTCACCGCAGTTCCTTGAGTTATGCTAAGGTCATTCAGACCACTGGAGAACTCGCCAACGAGTTGTGTCGCACAAAACGTAGCGGCAGCCGTAGTGACAGCAGCGGTGATGGTGGTGAGGTCCCGAGAGCTGGATACAGCGGATATTGAGAGACCATGGTGCCCTGAAGTAAACCGGCCTGGTTCGATGTCAGCTTCGAGAAAGTGCCGGGGTGTTTCGTCAGCAGCTGACTGGGTCTCAATCAAGGAGCCACCTCCGGACATCTGTGGCGTTGTTAGATGCTGACGAAGGCGCTTAGCAGACGAGCAGGCAGCAGAGGAACCAACAGTTGTGGCGATGGCTTCAGACACCGTATTAAGTCCCATCATTCCTATAAGATTGCTACTAACGAGGATGTCAGAGCCACCAGAATTTGGTGTGGGAGAACGAGTGTGTTTGCCGCCGACTGACTGTGATTGACGAAGTCCAAGCGATAGACTAGCAAGTGCGCTGGCGGGCAGGAGATTACAGTTGGCTGCAGCCAAATCGATGAGACTAGGTTGTCGGAGGGCCGTCTATAGTATGAAGTGAGTAGAATGAATGGAAGAGTAGAGCCGAATCAAAATGGACAGAAAGAAAACTAAATCGTGATCGAATTTCAAGCTACGAAAGTCACATTCTTAAATGAGGTACCACACTACTAGTGGCCTTAGAGATAATAGACATCTTAATGTAAAGCGGATTTTCATCGTCTAATGATCGAAGGATCAAAAGAATGCTTTGGAGAAGCACAACCAACTATATGAATTAGAGCTAAGTAATACGGCCAAAAATATGATTAAATGAGATTGAATCGATTCTACTTTGGATTTTATCGGTATAAACAGAATAAACTCTGGCATAATTAATTTTGATAAATATTTAAAAATCCGTCAGACGGGTATGTAGCCTCAAGAAAATCGGTCCCAGGTGGAATTGAGTATTCCAGAGAAATTCTGAGAACAAGCGAGTGTACTTACGGGACTTGCCTACAGCAATGGCTTAGATCTAAGCAATGAAAATATCCCAACCAAACAACCGAGAAGTGCATCGCAATCGTTTAAAGACTGTGACAAAAATGAACTAGCTTGAATTCGTCAGCTAAGAGGAAGTAAGATCAAGGAGCAATATTGATGAGATCTAAAAAACTATAGGAGAAAACAGGGTTGAATGACTTATCCACGTTAGGTAAACGAACTCCAACAAGTTAGCCCAGGTGTCTGAAAGTGTAATGACTTGGCATAATCCAAGGACGTAGTAAAAAGAATTAGGCTAGACCAACTTCATGGAAATAAGCATCACATTTTTACTGCAACATCCTGGCTGATAACTGTGTACCTTATATGAACAAGTTATACTAGGACTTCAATGGTCCTTCTTTGTATATCGTCACTGATTTAGAGATGTTTGCAATTAAACTAGGCAAAAGCCTTAACGCAAATTATCCTCAACTCAGAAATTACAAGAGAAATAAGTGGAAACCATATCCAGTATATAATAGCGCATCAGTAATTATAATAAGGTGAGGCTAAAGCTTTGCAAAAACGATTTGTTTGAAGTAATTTGCCCTCAGTTCGCAGAATTAAATTTACACGGCTAAACAATTATGGAGCTAAACTGTACGCATTGCATCTCCGCGTTGGCCTGTGAAAATAATACAATGAGTGAATGAATAAATGAATCATAAATACATACCTCGTCTTCCTGGTGATCAGAGGGAGAAGCGTGAATAGGATGACGAGTTGGGGCAACTTTGAGGCCAGAGAAAGTAGCATCCGGTAGTGGAGCCAGGTAGACAACTCCAGTCACCTCTGACTGCGCCAATTCCGTTTCTTCAGTATCGACTCCAATGCCTGAAGCAGTCATAGTTGATTGCGAAGACGGCCTTTGTATCACTTGATCTCGCATTAACTCAGTTGATGCAAATGAATGGACAGATGCATCTTCATTTGCTTGCCCCGTCGTTTCGATCCTAGACGTAGAAATGACGATTTCAGAGCCAGTATGAGGATGCTCGTCAGCATCTAGATCAACGTCTCGAAAGGTGTTTATCCGTTTGTTTGAATCCAGATCACTATTAGAAGATGTTTCAGAACTTGGTGTGGCCGTTATATCTGATATTCGAAAGGTAGGGATTTCAGAAGGTCCGCACTCACCAGCCCCCTGAAGCAAGAAGAAAGAGATGTTAATTTAAATGAGATGTACTCACACTAAGGTGATGAAGGACTGGTGGTTGAATTTCACCACAATCATATGAATAGACCTTACAGTTTCATTGCATTTCACATATTCTTGCTTTCCAAAGGTGTTCTCATCTAGCATGGGCTGAAGTCTAGACCTCGCCTAGTCTTATCAACACCTCCAGCGGGACTCAAACCATGACCACGTTAATTATTATGCCACATTGCCACGATTGTTCCAAGGTCACAGGGCATATGTGCATTTCAAGGGAGGCCAGGAATTTTCCCGTATCACATTTCGTGGTGGGATTGTCGATGAGGCTAAGTTATATTTGCTATAAAAATCGACTACATCACTGGTAGTCTCAAAACCCTACTTATAAACGTTAAACTACGCTTGTGCTTGGAAGCCAATTTTAATCTTAATTTAACTAGTAGATGAATCCCCGATATATGAAGGTAAAAATGCAGACAGAAATAACTTGAATATATGAAGACCAAGATGTTGTTGCCTCTGGTGTGGTCGCAGTCTCCTTTCGATTGATAGAAGTG